TCTGTGATCTATCTATGATCTATTTGTGATCTATCTGTAATCTACCTGTGATCTATCTGTGATCTACATGTGATATACCTGTGATCTATCTGTGATCCCGTTTGTGATCTAACTGTGATCTACCTGCAATCTATCTGTGATCTACCTGTGATCTACCTGTGATCTATCTATGATCTATCTGTTATCTATCTGTGTGAGGAGAATGTGGAAGCATAAACAGATCATCAAGGTTCCAAAAGAATGAAGCAACCGTAAAGTGATAATAGACCCTGTCAATATTAAACACACAGAGGACAGTCGAAACGGGCGCATAACTGCTGGTACTGTCGCAAAGGGCGCATAACTGCTGGTACTGTCGCAAAGGGCGCATAATTGCTGGTACTGTCGCAACGGGCACATAAGTGCTTGTACTGTCGCAACGGGCACATAATTGCTGATACTTTCGCAACGGGCACATAACTGCTGGTACTGTAGCAACGGGCACATAATTGCTGATACTTTCGCAACGGGCACATAACTGCTGGTACTGTCGCAAAGGGCGCATAATTGCAGGTACTGTCGCAAAGGGCGCATAATTGCTGGTACTGTCGCAACGGGCACATAACTGCTGGTACTGTTGAAACGGAAAGCCCAGAACGCACATGGGTAGCCCTTTGAACACATCATCCATTAACAGACTAGTGACAAACCTGTGGGAGGAACACCACTAACACTGCAGACCCCCCCCCCCCGCTTCCCCCCCTTTCCAAGGACGAGATAATGGCAAACACGGCCTTGACTCAAGTCTGGGTTACTTACAGTATTTTACATTTGTCTTATTTCTCAGAACTCTGCACGACTGTTAAGTATGTCTGGTAAAAACAAAAGCAAAATTGAAAGTCTCATTCTTAGCTCCTTGAATACGATGTAAAAAATTATCTTTTCTCTCAGTAATGTAGGGATAAACAATGTTTTATTTTCTTCCTTGAATTATTTTTTTCCCGTTTTTTGTTTCTTTAAATCTCGCAATGTTTCCGATTTGTGAACATGTGTTGATTAAATTCGGATACTGGGAGAATGTCGAGTGACAGATCTGACGTCAGGCATTGAAGGATAAATAGACTGACGGACAGCGATAGATAAACAGATAGACAGACGAAGGCAGAGAAAGGGAAGATTAAATGAACCAGACGTTAAGGTAAATGAATGATAGGTTGGTAGATGTTTAGAAAGATACACAGAACGCGAGACAGGCAGACATGAAGACACACACACGGCTAAAGACAGACACTGACGAACAAACGAAAGCGCAGACGGGCGAATAGACAGAGAGAATCGCGACAGACAGAAACAGACATACCCATACAGACTAACTAACTGACTGACAGAAAACATTGCTGCATCAATAGACGTTTGCAACAGCGTAGTCGGTAGAGTTCAGGGAGTGCAAACAGATGGACAGATGGTGTAACCTATGGACCCGTAGACATGCAGTCCGAAATATTGATGGACGGACAAACAGACACATAAACGGACAGACATTCGGACACATAGACGTACAGATATAAACAGAGAGACACACATACAGTGATATAAAATCACATACACTCATACACAGATATAGAGGAACATAGAGACAGACTCATAGATAGATAGACTGAGAAACAGATGTATAAACAGAGACAGACAGGCACAAAGAGATATAAACAGAGAGACCAAAGAAGAACAAAGAAACAGAGAAACAGTTAAAACGATTGCTAGCATTAAATAGCCCGACCAAAAGCTTTGTCGTGTGATGGACAAGAAGTTCTAGACATCTTTTAACGAGCAGATGAGGAGGGCAGAAAGTGGTCGCGAGAGAACGTGCGTTTTTTAGCGAAGAAAAACCGGATCGATACCGACCATTCCACATGTATATGAAAGGATAAAAAGAGTGAGATAAAATTCCGTGTGGGTGTTTTGAGCGTTAATGTGGTATCATTAAAAGAGGAGGGAAACATACTGGTTGTGTTGGCGAATTTAATGTCAACAGGACAGGCAAAGACACATGGACACAAGGCAACTGGTGGAGCGTTAAACTATTACAAGGAATTTGAACATAATTATAAGAGATCTGTATTAGTACATAAACGACTACGAAGTTTACAAAACTATTCAAAAACATATCTGTCTGTCTGTCTGTCTGTCTGTCTGTCTGTCTGTCTGTCTGTCTGTCTGTCTGTCTGTCTGTCTGTCTCTGTCTGTCCTGTCTGTCTGTCTGTCTGTCTGTCTGTCTGTCTGTCTGTCTGTCTGTCGGTCGGTCGGTCGGTCGGTCGGTCGGTCTGTCTGTCTGTCTGTCGGTCGGTCGGTTGGTCGGTCGGTCGGTCGGTCGGTCGGTCTGTCTATCACTATGTCTGTCTTTCTGTCTGCCTGTCACTCTGTCTGTCTCTCTACTCGGGTTCAAAAATTTTTTTGTCACTTTGCCGCCAATCTTTCCTCACAATCTGGCATTCAAAGTCACGTGATGCCAGGTGCTGAAAATTTCCTGTTACCCATTACCCATTACACACACAAACGCACATTGTTTCCAAATGTTAAAACCCATATTCTTACAACTCTGTAACCCTCCCCACCTCACTGGAACCCGCACCTGCCCCTTACTACGCCTCTGCCCGCAGATTCACATGCCCGCCGCAACGTTCCTGACAAGTTTCCATATCCTCAAGTTTAGTGGCTACCTTGTCGCACGGACATGAGATCACCGCTGCCTTGTGCACATTCAACGCCCTATCTTGACACTGGTGAGTCTAGAGACGATCCGAGAACATAGCTATCTTGACACCGCTGAGTCTAGGGACGATCCGAGAACCTAGGTATCTTGACACCGCTGAGTCTAGGGACGATCCGAGAACATAGCTATCTTGACACCGCTGAGTCTAGGGACGATCCGATAACCTAGGTATCTTGACACCGCTGTGTCTAGGGACGATCCGAGAACATAGCTATCTTGACACCGCTGAGTCTAGGGACGATCCGAGAACCTAGGTATCTTGACACCGCTGAGTCTAGGGACGATCCGAGAACCTAGGTATCTTGACACCGCTGAGTCTAGGGACGATCCGAGAACCTAGGTATCTGGACATTGCTGAGTTTAGGGACGATCCGAGAACCTAGGTATCTGGACATTGCTGAGTCTAGGGACGATCCGAGAACCTAGGTATCTGGACATTGCTGAGTCTAGGGACGATCCGAGAACCTAGGTATCTGGACACCGCTGAGTCTAGGGACGATCCGAGAACCTAGGTATCTGGACATTGCTGAGTCTAGGGACGATCCGAGAACCTAGGTATCTTGACACTGCTGAGTTTAGGGACGATCCGAGAACCTAGGTATCTGGACATTGCTGAGTCTAGGGACGATCCGAGAACCTAGGTATCTGGACATTGCTGAGTCTAGGGACGATCCGAGAACCTAGGTATCTTGACACCGCTGAGTCTAGGGACGATCCGAGAACCTAGGTATCTGGACACTGCTGAGTTTAGGGACGATCCGAGAACCTAGGTATCTTGACACCGCTGAGTCTAGGGACGATCCGAGAACCTAGGTATCTGGACATTGCTGAGTTTAGGGACGATCCGAGAACCTAGGTATCTGGACATTGCTGAGTTTAGAGACGACCAAAAAAACCTAACTATCTTGACACTGCTGAGTTTAGAGACAACTCAATAACCTAGCTATCGATTACAGAACCTAGCTATCGATTACAGAACCTAGCTATCGATTACAGAACCTAGCTATCGATTACAGAACCTAGCTATCGATTACAGAACCTAGCCATCGCTCCCAGAACCTAGCTATCGCTCCCAGAACCTAGCCATCGCTCCCAGAACCTAGCCATCGCTCCCAGAACCTAGCCATCGCTCCCAGAACCTAGCCATCGCTCCCAGAACCTAGCTGTCGATCACAGAACCTAGCTGTCGATCACAGAACCTAGCTGTCGATCACAGAACCTAGCTGTCGATCACAGAACCTAGCTGTCGATCACAGAACCTAGCTGTCGATCACAGAACCTAGCTGTCGATCACAGAACCTAGCTGTCGATCACAGAACCTAGCTGTCGATCACAGAACCTAGCTATCGCTCCCAGAACCTAGCTGTCGATCACAGAACCTAGCTGTCGATCACAGAACCTAGCATATTAACACTGCCAAATCTAGAGGTGATTTTGGAAACTATAGATCGAATCTCCTACACGTGTATTTTATTATTGTGTAATGCCCAGGTGGAATCCAGAGTCTGTGATCCCCTAATTACTTAAATGATTTTGGTGCACTACAAACCCGAAGCCGTCTTAGAATTGAAATACACAGACTAGCTTGGGGCGCCTACGATGGTGGGGCCCCCAACACGAGTCTAGCGGCCCCATATATTTAGACCTCACTGTTGTCTCCACATGTGCGCTGCGCATTTTAAAATATGAAACAATAATACACCCTAAAAAAAATTGTATTTATCGTAATTAAACAAACATTAGGAAAGATTTGAAACAATTGTTATTTTGTATACTTCTATTTTATTTTATATTTAGAAACATTTCTCTAATTTCTTTTTTGGTCTTTGTTCAGATCCTCGCAACTAATCTGACGTAACAAATCTGCTTCTGTACTTAACCACGACCATCTCTAGCTGACTCGTGACTTGACAGAGATAAGACATCCAGCCTACCTTGTTGCATTGCTCTTCTGATAGGATTTTGAAATACACATTAGCCGGGAAAATACACACTTTAGACACTCAGCCCCAAGGTATATGGTGCCACTCCGCTTTGTGGTGCCCTTAACATGTGCTTAGTGTGTTTGATGATTAATCCGGTTGTGGTAATCCCATTTCTTTGCCTTGTGTGTTGTTTTGTTTATGTGGCTACACAGCACACACGTTCATCTGATAAGTAAATGCATTTTTCTGTCTTTACAGGTGAGAGAGAAGAAGTCTTTGTAATTTAGCCCGGACTTGGACTGAGGTCCAGCCCATGCCACGCTCACATGGTGACCTCTGGCAATATGACGGCACCTGAGTCTCCGCTCATCGACCTCAACGTGACCTCATTTGACAGGGAGTACCTCCACTGGTCTTTCATCATCTTGGAGGTGGCAGCGGTCGTCGTCATCGTCATTGGTGACATCTCTATGTTGATGATGTTCTTTACTCGCAAACTCCTGGGACAGTCGACCAATATTCTCGTCTTTTCCGTTGCCATCGGCGACCTGCTAGCAGGGATTATGGCCCTTCCATTGGCTATGATGCAGAAGGTTGGTTGCTCTCCCTTTCTCTATTCTTCTTACCTGTTACTTTTTTTTTGTTGTTCAAATTAGGGGATATGGCTTCCTTAGTATATTACACAAGCTATTGCTTTTTTCCTTTCTACAAATATATTAAATGACATTCTAACCTTACAGTGCATAGCGACAGGACTGTCATGTGGCCCTACATCCTCAGACCCACCCCCCCCCCCCCCCCTCCACACCGCCCCAAAAATGTGGTACAATCAGACAATAGTGACAGTTTTTGACATGATCTTATGCGGATTTTCCCACCATTATTTATAATGAAATATTCAGCTCAGGCTTTGTGCTTTGGAGAGGAGGGATTTCATCTCTGTTCATAACTGGCATCGGAAACAAATCGAGAGGCAGCAATGACAGAATTATAAGTCCTTGGCAGCTGGCGCAGACGAGGGCACCTTATCGTTGGGAGACATTTTCGAAAAACGCTGACGATTAAGCAAAAGCGTTTGTCTGCAGGCTTGTGTTCTGAGCACTTTTCTTTATGGCAGTGAAACTTGGCAAACTTATTCACACCATAACGGTTAAATAGCTTTCACATTCGATGCCTAAAAAGAATGCTTGGAATAAGTTGGCAAGACAACATCACAAACACTGAGGTACTGGAAAAAGCAGGTATTACAACAATTTTTCTCAACGCTCAGACTACGAAGGCTCAGGTGGCTTGGTCATACCTGGAGAATGGAGGATTTTAGAGTCTCTAACGACATCCTGTATGAAGAAAACAAATGGGTAGGAGATGTCGAGGCCTACCACTACTAAGATATAAAGATCTGTGCAAGCGCGACATGAATGATACTGGAAACAAAATGCCATGGACCGTGTTGTGTAAGTAAAGTAAAAGTAAAGATTCCTTTACACGCCCTTAGGCGCATCGGGCATATGGGAAGAGCACCCATATTTTCACAGACCAATCGGCACTCGGTGGGTAATGTGGTCAGCATTACGCCGGCCGTCTTTACTTTCCCAGGACAGCCCATCCTGGTACCCATTTGAGGCTGGTATAGGAGGCAAATCAGGAAAGGAATCAGAAAGAAGGAAGATATTATTGCAGAAAGGAGAACAGAGCTCAGGTAAGGAGCACCCAAAATACCTGTGGAGACAACAAAGGTCCTAAAATAACACCCTCTAATTATGGAAGATTGTTTTTAACGCGTGCGGGTTTTGCTAGTCACACTCGCCATCGCCAAGGGCTGTGAGTCCCATGCCTCCTCACACTCGCCATCGCCAAGGGCTGTGAGTCCCATGCCTCCTCACACTCGCCATCGCCAAGGGCTGTGAGTCCCATAGCCTAATCACACGTCGCCATCGCCAAGGGCTGTGAGTCCCATGCCTCCTCACACTCGCCATCGCCAAGGGCTGTGAGTCCCATGCCTCCTCACACTCGCCATCGCCAAAGGCTGTGAGTCCCATGCCTCCTCACACTCGCCATCGCCAAAGGCTGTGAGTCCCATGCCTCCTCACACTCGCCATCGCCAAAGGCTGTGAGTCCCATGCCTCCTCACACTCGCCATCGCCAAAGGCTGTGAGTCCCATGCCTCCTGATAGCACAATACAACATTCTCGTCTGGATAGACCCCAGCTAGTAATGAACGTGTGTATGGATAATATACTGTACTTCTGCAATGCCGGAGAGTGGAGGAAAAGGAAGTGGGTTGTGTTCAATGGTCTGTCTTGTCAGGTTTGAACTCGTGATTTTTTGCACGAGCTTCTATTTTCATCTCATTTTTATACACAAACATACTTTTTCTTTGCTAGTTTCATCCCTTATCTAACACTAGTTAGGTGACCACAATTTGTAGTCTTCATGTCTTCTGTTCTTTACTCCTGGAATGTCTCGTGGCGTCAGGACAGGAAGAGATCTTTGGAACGAGCCCTTCTGTTCTCTACTCCTGGAATGTCTCGTGGCGTCAGGGCAGGAAGAGATCTCTGGAACGAGCCCTTCTGTTCTCTACTCCTGGAATGTCTCGTGGCGTCAGGGCAGGAAGAGATCTCTGAAACGAGCCCTTCTGTTCGCTTCGTATAAAGCACATTTAAGTTTCTCTAATATTTCTGTGGTCCATATTTTGCGTGGTCGACCTCTTGTTATTTTTTGGGGGTCTTTCCAGGGTATTTTAAGCATTGTTATGTAAAACCACATCTCTAAGGCCTCAAGAAATTGTTTGGCCTGCCTACCGATTGTCCAGGACTCACAATGCAATGCCTTTAAATATAAGTGCTTACTTGACGAGGCTAACAGTGACTGTTGTACAGACCACATTTTCCACTTTAAAATGTCAGCCAAAATGTAATCACAACCTTACTTATCCGCTCCACCTTCACGAATACAGATAGAGGATCAGTCGCACCTCGAGATAAATACACAAACAGTTTTTAGGACGCTGCGGTTAGCATTTTATGCAGTTTGATACACTTTTTGTGTCTAACAAGGAAACAAAAACTCTTCTTAACAGTGGCGAGGAAAGACAATTAAGATTTTAACTTTTAATTATCGTTATGCCTTCTTTAATATTGTCACAATTTATAGCCGAGTTTTCTTGATTTTCGCTGCGGCACCCCTGGCATACGCACCCAGTTTGAGAACCTCTGCTGTAATGTCTCGGTCGAGTCAGCAGGCAAAGACTTTGCCAGCTACTGTACCAAGCATTTGGGTCGCAGTTTCCCCAGCTACGACAGACTTAGGCAACAACAACTATTGTGTTAATGAGAGAGTTATTTCAGTCCATCGCAGTTAATGCAAAACAGGTGTAAGGTAACCACTATTCGTATTCGGCCCGACCGCAAGTATTCGGCCGAATACAGAATAGTTATTAGGTACATTATTCGGCCCCGAAGCGAATACGAAGCGAATATTCGGTACAGCCCTAATATGATTGCCCGTTCATCGTAAAATATCACGGCACTGACATGAATGACCCTAACTCTAACCGTAGCCACATAAGTACCGCCTTTACAACCTGTGAAGAAAGGTAGCTAGGTCTTCTCAAAGAAAACTGTAGGCCCAAAATCTGACCAGCCAGGTATCAGTCTTCAAGTGGCGCGGCGCATTACAGAAAACATTTCAAGACAGAAATAGAAGCAGCGGCAGAAGCAAGTGGATGAGGAGCAAGAAGACGAAGAAAAAGAAGTAAAAGCAGCAAGCGAAGACGAAGAAAAAGAAGAAGAAGAAGAAGAAAGAGATAAAGAAGAAGAAAGAGATAAAGAAGAAGAAGAAGAAGAAGCAGCAGCAGCAGCAGAAAAGAAGAAGAAGAAGAAGAAGAAGAAGAAGAAGAAGAAGAAGAAGAAGAAGAAGAAGAAAAGAAGAAGAAGAAGAAGAAGAAGAAGCAGCAGCAGCAGAAAACAGAAGAAGAAGAAGGAGAAGAAAAAGAAGAAGAAGAAGGAGAAGGAGATGAAGAAGAAAAAGAAGAAAAAGAAGAAGAAGAAGAAGAAGAAGAAGAAGAAGAAGAAGAAGAAGAAGAAGAAGAAGAAGAAGAAGAAGAAGAAGAAGAAGAAGAAGAAGAGAAGAAGAAGAAGAATGAAGAAGAAGAAGAAGAAGAAGAAGAGAAGAAGAAGAAGAAGAAGAAGAAGAAGAAGAAAGAAGAAGAAGAAGAAGAAGAAGAAGAAGAAGAAGAAGAAGAAGAAGAAGAAGAAGAAGAAGAAGAAGAAGAAGAAGAAGAAGAAAAAGAGAGGAGGATTAGGACGAGGACGAAAAGAAGAAGAGGATGAGGACGATAGAATTACCACATACCAGACGCCACTTGGCAGAAAGATTGTCCCTTGGTTCAGCAAACAAAATTTCAACCACTCGAATGTTTGACATTCATGCCTATAGACACAACCGTATGTAGTCGCATCGATTCTCATTATTGATGTACCCATGATGTGAACGAATCATTACATCTTTAAAATACAAAAAAAATTTAAAAAAATAAAATAGAAGGCTGAAATATTTACAGGCCATCAGAACGTTAGCCAATCTGTAACGCAGAGCACTTATCAAAAAAGCACAGTTATATTTTGTCAGCGGTTAAAAAACAAAACAAATAACGTCATCATCATCGATGCGGCAAAAGAGGAAATAGTACCACATTAAACAGAGAAACGACACCATGAAGGTGATTATTAGACCCCGCTACTGCAATTACTAAGGTCTTTTTACATGGTTAACCTTCAATTACCTGTCTTCGATCCCGCCCCAAGTGAGGCCAGATCGAACCCTAACTACCTGGGCCACAGAACCAATTATACATAAATTCTGTAGAAATTTACTGGTTTTTATTTTTTTTATTTTCCACAACCAGTCATCTCGTGTTGAGTTTAACAGGTCTGCAACCATTCATCGTTTGACCCAGTATCGATGTCTTTCGACCTGTGGCATGTCTACGACAGTTTGAAGACAGCACATGACAGCTCCTGGCAATCCTGTCACATATATTGATGTAGGCCACTTTACCTATACTAGTTGAACAGAATCATGAGTTTGGGTGATCTGTTCTTGCAGTGATCCGTTCTTGCAGTCACCCGTTCTTGCAGTGATCCGTTCTTGCAGTGATCCGTTCTTGCAGTGATCCGTTCTTGCAGTTGTCCCTTTTCTTTCCAAGATAATTTCCAGAAATTTGGTTCTTCTTCTTCTTCTTCGCCCCTTCCTCCTTGAGTCCAGTGTAGAAGGAGATCTCACATTCAGCTGTTTGCTCTTTTGATGACCTTGTTCATAGACAGATGGTGCTGGTGCAGAGTTTCTGTCATATTATATTTTTATTTTGTTCTTGGTAGACCTTTCGCTCTACGTCCGTCTACTTTATGTGAGTATGTGTATGTTCGTGTGTGTGTGTGTGTGTGTGTGTGTGTGTGTGTGTGTGTGTGTGTGAGTATGTGTATGTTCGTGTGTGTGTGTGTGTGTGTGTGTGTGTGTGAGTATGTGTATGTTCGTGTGTGTGTGTGTGAGAGAGTATGTGTATGTTCGTGTGTGTGTGTGTGTGTGTGTGTGTGTGTGTGTGTGTGTGTGTGTGTGTGTGTGGTATGGCGTTACAAGGCATTCTCTCTAAGCAGGCAAACGATTTTAATGTAATTTATTATTGATTTCTATATCGAATCTTTCTCCTACGAGTTCATTCCTGATTTGATCTGTTTTGGTCACTCCTGCAGCCTTTCTGAGACACCTTATTTGCCTAGTTACTAATTGTATCTATATGATAGCTCGGGCTCTTCTCCACATCTTAATCTTCACCGGGTGTGATCTTCGGCGGAAAGTTCTGGTTGTTCGTCCAATTCTGGACTTTGGTGTTGTTCTAGAATGTGAGTTTCGCATCCACACCCATGTTCAAGATTTGGTTTACTTGTATGCAGACTGCTGCTTCCTCGCCTTTCAGACGCAGGCACTTCGACTTAGAAGATAAAAACCAACACTCAGTACTGTTTTACAAGATGTTTGTTAAAGAGCAGAGGTCCATACTTAATCCCCCCCCCCTCCCATCCCATCCCACCCCACCCCCTTGCGTCATGTAGCTCTAGAACCGCCTCGACTGCTAGAGGTTCCAGGTTCAATTCCCGATAAGAGCAGGGATTTTTTCACGTGGACTTGGACTTCTAGTAATTCCCCCTGGTCTCTTGGTTGTGAGATCGGATGTATTGTTGCGCACATAAAAAATCCATTGGCAGTTGGAAATCGAAAGGAGTAGCCTAACGGCGCTGCCCGGGCAAAATTTGGAGTTAAAAATCTAACCAAAGTATTTCTGGAACCTCGCCGGCGCTACAGAGCCTGTGCACTGTAATGAGCTTTTTTGGACTCAGACTTGAGTTAGAAGAAAAACGGAGCACTTATGGGTTACTATACATATGCTATGATGCTGATTCGGTGTTCAAAGCCTCAAAATCTCAAGCCTGGTAGTTCACTGTCTTTTGTTTTGTTGTCTTTTTCTTTAAAGAATGTTTAATTTAGCGCTTCGGTTCTTGTATATGACATCTGCCTCTTCTTAAACGAACCATCCATTTTTTTTACTGTTCTTTCTTTACTTTTTACTTATGACACCACTTCATCGTTTGAGACATGCTGCTGTTCATACGCCAGTTTTTCATCCTGTATGTTTTATCGGAGAGCTCACCGGGTCTACTTGATGTTTCGTTGGAGGAAACAAGAGAGGGTGGTCGCCATTCAGTACCATTGTTGTTTCTGAGATCATGTATGGTTTGTGTGCGAATTTGTAGTTGTTAGTCATGGTCTCTTACTCAATCTGTGAAGGAAACATATCGTAGCTTGTGAATTAAAATGTTACTTAAAAATTCTTAATAAACCACGGATAAAAAGAAGAAAACCAAACATCAATACTCTAACACTATTGGAATATATTGGAATATATGGGAGAACTGGCTCATAAACAGCATTCTCTTCTGAGGATTGAGGTATGGTGGCCATATAAACATCATTGTGCCATCTAGAAAAGGGTGGGGGGGGGGGGGACGAAGAAGGGTACAGTTTCCCAAAACCGAAACAGAGACCAGCCCTCGCAAAGGTGGACGAAAGACATTAAAGATACACTGGCTATGAAAGCACATAGGGTTGGAGAAATGGCTAGAGAGACACTTTCAGGCGTGCCGTGAGGAGAGCGACGTTTTGTCAAGTACCTGCTGGCTTATGATGAAACAAGCACCGAAGTACTAGAATATACCTACAACTGACTAGGGGTCACCTCTGTCCCCAGATTATCGTAGAGCTGTCAGACTTTTTTGTGCAAGGGCTACTTCTATTTTAGAAGTCATCCGTGTCACCAGATCTCGTGAAACCATGTAACTTCCTTGCAAGGGTAACTTGTACTTTAGACATAAAACTGACCACTGGTCATCTCTGTCCGCAGATTCTCGTGGAGCCATCAGACTTCCTGTGCAAGGGCTACTTCTACTTCTCCAACGTCTCCAAGACGGCTGTTGGCTACACAATCCTCCTGCTGGCCATGGAGAGAATCATCGCTCTCTTGATCCACACATTTCGGATATTACCACCTGGCAGGTTTGTGTTTCTACAGTACGTTTCAAAAGTTATGCCCTCACACTTTAAAAAAAATATCTCGAAAATCCCTGTACGGATCCACACAAATATTTCCATGTTCTTATTATTTTATAATTTATACTTCCACTCGTGCTGCTGTTTTCTTTGATCTTTCTGTGTCTAATAACTTTTGTACCCTTAGAAAATACAATATACAGTAACTGGCAAATGCGTGGAGATTGCTCGCTGATTATTTTGATAGCCTAACCCGCATGCAATGAAATATTCACAACTGACGAAAGGCCAATCCTGGAGATGATCACCTCAGAGTGAAACGCCCAAGAAACGGGTGCATTTAGTTGTTTTGAAAAGTTCCCGTTTCTTAATTTACTGTAAACATGTTGATAGTTTGCTTTGAATCGATGTTTTCTTTTAATCGCGAATAAGGTCAAATTAAAATAATATGTTTGTTTACATTAAAAAAAAAAAAAAACACACACACACATCTTACAAGGACACGATTATCAGCAGGCAGCATGCCAAATTTCAACAATTTAAATCCAATGTTTAGTGGGTTCCTTTTTTTAAAGTTCGGCACGACTTTAGAAACGGACGACAACCTGTCGTATTCTTGGAGGCAGCCGCGGTGGAGAAGCCGCTAGTTACTCAATCTGCCGACCCCATGGTGGTGAGTTCGAATCTGCATCAAGTCGCAATTGTTTCTCCCAAAATACAACCTTGGCTCCTAGGTCGACCCAGCCAAAATGGTAATGTCCTGCGAAGTAAAGGCGGATAGCGTGTTGCTGACTATATCACCAATCGAGAGACGACTGGTCTATGAACATATGGGTCCAGCTTCCAGTTGCTGAAGCGTCAGTGGCGTGTAGGAGGGCCTTAACTTAGTCATGTGTTGTACTGGGCCTAAAAGATCATATATCATAACATTGTATATTCATCTAACTATCTAGCAACATCTCTGCCTGTCTGTCCACCCACCAGCCCGCCCGCCCGCCCGCCCGCCCGTCTGTCTGTCTGTCTGTCTGTCTGTCTGTCTGTCTGTCTGTCTGTCTGTCTGTCTGTCTGTCTGTCTGTCTGTCTGTCTGTCTGTCTGTCTGTCTGTCTGTCTGTCTGTCTGTCTGTCTGTCTGTCTGTCTGTCTGTCTGTCTGTCTGTCTGTATGTCTGTGTCTGTCAAGTCTGTCTGTCTGTCAAAATTGTGTCTGTCTGTCATTCTGTCTGTCAAATATGTCTGTCTGTCTGTCTGTCTGTCTGTCTGTCTGTCTGTCTGTCTGTCTGTCTGTCTGTCTGTCTGTCTGTCTGTCTGTCTGTCTGTCTGTCTGTCTGTCTGACAACAAACACTGAATCAATAATCCCTGCTGGTGTCTGTCTGTCTGTCTGTCTGTCTGTCTGTCTGTCTGTCTGTCTGTCTGTCTCTCTGTCTGTCTCTCTGTCTGTCTGTCACTCAGTATTTCTGTAAGTCTGTGTAAATGTACAAGAAGGTAAATAGTTTTTAAAACAAAATGAACTGTTAGGATGAGGGAATGAACAACACAAAAGCACAAATATAACCGCCACGCCTGCTGCTCAAATAAACGTTGCTGAAAGCGGGACTCCATGGGAAGTTGATAATTGCAGCCGGCACGACACACCCGGCATGCCACACCCACATGCCACACCCACACGCCACACCCGGCATGCCACACCCACATGCCACACCCGGCATGCCACACCCACATGCCACACCCACATGCCACATTAATAACAACAATGACACCAAACTCTGAATCAATAATCCCTGCTGCTACCACTTCCACTACTACTTTTACTACTGCTACTACTACTACCACTACCACCATAACTATCACTGCTGCTGCTGCTGCTACTACTACTACTACTACCACCACCACCACAACTATCACTGCTGCTGCTGCTACTACTACTACTACTACCACCACCACCACAACTATCACTGCTGCTGCTACTACAACTACCACTACCTACACACTACCACTACTACTCCTTCTCCTCTTACAACACCTACTACTAAACTTATGGTGCTGCTGCTACTACCAACATCACAACCAACAACACAACCAACATCACAACCAACAACACAAACAACAAGACAACCAAAATCACAACCAACATCACAACCAACAACACAACCAACATCACAACCAACACCACCCACGTAATAACTATATAAACATATGCATGTATGTCTATGTGTCTGTAAAGTACAGTATCCACTTCTATGAGAGGTAGTCGAAGAACGAAGTTTACACAATCAGCAACTGAGATAACCAAGTTTACAACAAGCAACAAATGAGATAAACAAGTTTACACAAACTCAGATAACCAAGTTTACACAGACTGATTTAAAAAAAAAAAATCACTGCCTTTTTTACCTCTTTTTGCGATATAGGCAGGGGGGTCTTTGAGCATGGCTAGTGCTGACTCCACGACTGTACAGATAAGGATCTTATTTTGCTCCCGACAGGAAAAAATTCCCAGCCTTACCGAGGATTCGAACCTGGGTCTCCGGCTTGAGAGCCTAGTGTTCTAACCGTTCGGCCAGCCGCTCCTCGACTCTGATAACTACGTTTAGAAAATCTCAGATAACCAGGTTTGCACAGACGCAGATAACCAGGTTTACAAAATTATGATAACCAAGTTTAGACAAATTCTAATAAACAGGTTTACAAAAACTCAAATAACCAGGTTTACAACAACAACCAACAAATGAGTTAACCAAGTTTCACAACAAGCAACAACTTAGTTAACTAAATATACGACAGCCAACATATAGGAGCCAAGGCTCCCAACAATTCTACAACCCTACCCAGGATTCGAACCCTGATTTCCTGCATGAGAAGCCAACGTTCTTAAACGTACCACCAGCATGTTACCAGACGAAAAAGCAGGTTCAAATTCTGTTGGTTCAGATCTATAGACACGTGATCCCTCAGTTGACATGGTAACGAGTTCCCGATGTGCCATTTATACACTTCCGGGTACTTCCTATGAAACAACTAGAAGTGTTTTGTTTTTCAATCGTAAAAAACAGTGATGAAAGCAAGTAGACACTATTAGACAACAACAAGAAAGGCTGCTATAGACACCATTAGACAACAACAAGAAAGTCTGCTGTAGGCACCACAACTTTGAACCATTAAAGTGTCAAAGTGTCTCACTGATGATCAATGGAGAACTTGAAGGGTCCAAACGTGTTTGTGTTTTTACGTCTTGTCTAGAATCTAAATTATCTTCTGGAGTTTGGTTTGGTTTTTAGCTCCATTCTTTGCCTATTCAGAGCTTTCAAAATGGTTTCATAGAAAACTGCTGTCGAAGATTCTGTAAAATCCTGTGCATTATAGTCTTTTACATTACATTTTTAACCTACCTACCTGAGTTTATCTACTGTCATACTTTGAATATTTCCCTCATTGTTATCTACTGTCATACTTTGAATATTTCCCTCATTTTTATCTACTGTCATACTTTGAATATTTCCCTCATTTTTATCTACTGGCATAATTTGAATATTTCCCTCATTTTTATCTACTGTCATACTTTGAATATTTCCCTCATTTTTATCTACTGTCATACTTTGAATATTTCCCTCATTTTTATCTACTGTCATACTTTCAATATTTCCCTCATTTTATCTACTGTCAGACTTTCAATATTTTTGAATATTTCCCTCATTTTTATCTACTGTCATACTTTGAATATTTCCCTCATTTTTATCTACTGTCATACTTTCAATATTTCCCTCATTTTATCTACTGTCATACTTTGAATATTTCCCTCATTTTACCTACTGTCATGCTTTCAGTATTTCCCTTATTTTATCTACTGTCATACTTTCAATATTTCCCTCATTTTATCTACTGTCATACTTTCAATATTTTCCTCATTTTACCTACTGTCATGCTTTCAATATTTCCTCTATTACATCTACTGTGATATTTTACGTATTTCCCTCATTAGATCTACGGTGACACTTTAAATATCTCTTTCATTACTTCTACTGTGATACTTTAAATTTCTTTCAACAAATAGTTCGCTCTCTGTATCTACTGTTATTCTTCAAATAGTTCTTTCAACAACTGGTTCGCTCGCTGTATCTACTGTTATTCTTCAAATAGTTCTTTCAACAACTAGTTCGCTCGCTGTATCTACTGGGATACTTTGAATAGTTCCCTCTATAGATAGTTCGCTCGCTGTATCTACTGGGATACTTTGAATAGTTCCCTCAATAGATAGTTCGCTCGCTGTATCTACTGTGATACTTTGAATAGTTCCCTCAATAGATAGTCCACCTTTCCGTGGTGGGGCAGCTTGTATTTCTCAATGACCCTGAGAGCTATGCATGCGGTAGCGTAGCTACAAAGGGTAGAGAACAAAGAGAGACACCCCGTTCCTTCAGGTTGGGGGTTGAAGCGTAGGGCCGTACTCGCACCTTCTTAAAACTTTATATCGCCGCGAAAAATGTATTATAAATTACAAACTGTTAGTGATTGGGTCAGTAAATTAGGAATAAAAGGAAAAGGAGAAAAAAAATCACGGTGATTAAAGTGCATGTATCCACTGAAGATATTGAAGATGATATTAAAGAATATTTCTATGATCTCCTTGAGAATATCACAGATGAAGCTCAGAAACGAGACGTATTGATTGTCTTGGCAATGAGAATAGAAAACACTTATAAAAATGTAGCAGGCACGGAAATCCTACATACTAATTCAAATGATAATGGATGGAGATGTATCAACCTCGCCGTAGCCAAAACACTACAGATAAGCAGCACCAGATTTCAAAGAAAAGATAAACATAAATAAACCTAGCAACCATGTGACAAGATAACTTATAATCAGATAGATCATATTTTAATAAATATTAGAAATGCATTGAACATACAACAAGATAGAAGCTACAGAGGAGCTGAGTGTCATAGTGACCACTTACCTGGTTGGTGCAAAATTAAAAATTAGTTAAACAGATCTTTCTACACCAAGTT